TATCATTTTAAATACATAACTAATGATCTATTTAATGTGAATATCTCTCAGATTAACCATGTCTTCATTCAACCCACTTACCTCAATTTTGAACCAAAACAAGTTAGAAGGACCGAATTATATTGACTGGAAAAGAAAACTTGATATTGTCCTAACTGCTAAAGGTTACAAATTTGTAATCACTTAGGAGTGCCCAGAAAAACCTGAAAATGCTACTGATAATCAGGTTAAGGCCTATGACAAATGGGTTAAGGCTGATGAGATGGCGCGATGTTACATTCTTGCCTCTATGGCGAACGTTTTGCAACATCAGCATCAATCTATGGGGTCTGCTTATGATATGCTCGAAAGTCTCAAAGAGATTTTCGGTGAGCAAAATCGTGCAGCTAAGCAGACAGCCATGAAATCCCTTTTGAACACCAAGATGGCTGAAGGATCATCGGTCAGAGACCATGTTCTGAAGATGATGAGTCTTCTGAATGAACTGGAGGTCCTTGGAGATGTGATTGATAAGGAGTCTCAAGTTGAGATGGTCCTACAGACTCTCCCTGACAGTTTTCAACAGTTTCGCTTGAACTATAATATGAACAAAATGGATTTGTCACTAGCGAAATTGTTGAATGAGTTGCAAGCGGCAAAATCTATTATCAAACAACAAGCTCCAGTTGTAGCACTCAATGTTGAGAATGCTTCTGTTTCTAAGTCGAAAGGAAATAAGAAAAAGAAGAAGGCTCAAAAGGTTCTGGTACCTGGTGGTACGGCTGGTGTGAAAAAGCCCAAAGGCAAGTGCTATCATTGCAAGCAACCTAATCATCACAAGAAGAAATGCCCTGCCTATCTGGCAAAGTTGAATAAGAAAGGTAATTCAAATTTAAATGTCATTGAAACTTATTTAGCGGCTGTTTCTACCATGTTTTGGTGTGTAGATTCGGGAGCCACTAATCATATCTGCACTACTTTGCAGGGGTTTCAGGAAACACGGCGGCTAAGTGAGAATGAAGTTTGCATTTTTCAAGCCAATGGCAAGCTAACACCAGCTTTAGCTTTAGGAGATATTAGATTTTCGTTTAGTAGTGATAGAATTTTAGTTTTACAAGATGTTCTCTATGTACCTTCTATTAGAAGGAATTTGATTTCGGTTTCGAAAATAATGGATGTTGGTTATAATGTTTATTTTGATAATAACTATGCTGTTATTAAGTTTAATAAACATTTTATCTATACTTCTGCTAGAGTACATGACCTTTTTATTCTTGATATATCTCTTAATGTGCTACAACAACCAAAAGAACTAAATAACATTAATCTACCACATAAAAGAAAACGTATTTCTGAATTGAGTCAAACTTATTTATGGCACTTACGTCTAGGCCATATAAATCTAAATAGGATTTCGAGATTGGTCTCTGATGGACCTTTGAGTTCATTGAAAGTGGAGTCACTACCAACATGCGAATCCTGTTTAGAAGGCAAAATGACCAAGAGACATTTCCCCTCAAAAGGAAATAGAGTTAGTGATAAGCTAGAATTAATTCACTCTGATTTGTGTGGTCCTATGAATATACAAGCAAGAGATGGTTTTGAGTATTTTGTGACTTTCACAGATGATTACTCAAAATATGGATATATTTATCTGTTGCGACGGAAGTCTAAATGCTTTGAGAAATTCAAAGAATTTAAGACAGAAACGGAGAAACGACATGATAAATATATCAAAACATTGCGATCTGATCGTGGTGGTGAATACCTTTCTGCGAAATTTATAAAATACTTATCAGATAATGGAATTACATCTCAATTATCTACCCCATGAACACCACAACAAAATGGTGTGGCAGAAAGAAGAAATAGGACCTTTATGAAAATTGTTAGATCAATGTTAAGTTATTCCGATTTGCTTTCTTCCTTTTGGGGATATGCTTTAGAAACATCAAACTACATTCTAAATTTGGAACCTTCAAAGTCAGTACCTTCAACTCCAGTAGAATTGTGGACTGGGTGCAAGCCAAATTTACGGCATATTCGGGTTTGGGGTTGTCCAGCACATGTGCTGAAAGGGAAAACGGATAAATTGGAATCAAGGACAGAAGTATGCATTTTTATTGGATATCCAAAAGGAACAAAAGGCGGTTTGTTTTATTGTCCCAAAGAAAAGAAGGTAATTGTTACGACAAATGCCAGATTTTTAGAAGAGGACTATCTAACGAACCATATTCCTAGAAGTAAACTAGTTTTACAGGAATTAAACAAAGGAGTAACTAAAGACTCATCTCTAGAACGTATCCCGAAAGCCAGTATTGACATACCACTGTATTATCGTAGTGGGAGAAATGTCAATAGGCAGCAGATTGAACAAGAGCAATTGCTTGACATCTCACTACCCCAAAGTAGTGAGAGTAATGTTGAGCAACCTCAGAATGTTGAACAACCTGAAATTGTTATGCAACCTGCACTTCAGGAAGAAGTTAATGATATCCCAGCACCGCAAGGTGTGGAGGATAACATTGAGGCTTCAGTTTCAGGAAATAATGATAGGATTCAACAACAAAATCAGCCTCCATCTGTAGTGACTAGTCATAGTGGGAGAATTATTAGAAAACCTCTTCGGTTTGCGCTCTTAGGAGAATCTTATGATAGAATCCCTGAATAGCCTAATACAGAACCTATTAATTATGATGAAGCACTACATGATGCAGATGCTGATAAATGATTTGATGCTATAAAATCTGAAATGGATTCCATGTACTCCAATCAAGTCTGGGATCTTGTAGAACCACCTACTAGATTCAAACTCATAGGTCGTAGATGGATCTATAAGAAAAAGAGAGGAGTGGATGAAAAAGTGTAAACTTTTAAAGCTAGGCTTATTGCAAAAGGGTTTACTCAAAAAGAAGGAATCGATTATGAGGAAACTTTTTCGCCGATAGCCATGCTTAAATCCATTAGGATTCTCTTATACATTGCTTCTCATTACAATTGTGAGATCTGACAAATGGATGTCAAGACCGCTTTTCTAAATGGAAGTCTTGATGAGTGCATCTATATGGCACAACCAGTTGGTTTCATAAAAAGTGGCAATGAGCACATGTTGTGTATATTAAAGAAATCCATTTATGGATTGAAACAAGCTTCTAGGGCATGGAACACTTGTTTTGACGCATCGATTAAGACCTTCGGTTTTGATCAATGTGAAAATGAGTCTTGTGTGTATAAGAAGTGGAATGAAGATAAAGTTACATTTTTGGTTTTGTACGTAGATGATATTTTGCTCATAGGAAATAATGTGAGCATGTTGAACTCAGTAAAGGAATGGTTGTCCTCACGTTTCGATATGAAAGACTTGGGACAGACAACACATATCCTTGCAATCAAGCTTATGCGAGATCGCAAGCAAAGGATATTAGGCTTGTCCCAAGCACTTTATATTGATACTATTCTCACCAGGTTTAGCATGCAAGATTCCAAGAAAGGGTTTCTCCCCTTTAGACATGGAATCTCTCTGTCAAAAGATCAGTCCCCAAAAACGACTGATGAGATAGAAAAGATGAAGGCGGTCCCTTATGCTTCTGCTGTAGGGAGTCTTATGTATGCTATGCTATGTACTAGACCTGATATCTGCTTTTATGTTGGCATGGTTAGTAGATTTCAGTCTAACCCTAGTCGAGAACACTGGACTGTTGTTAAGCATATAATCAAGTACTTGAAGAGTACTAGGGATTATATGTTGGTGTATCACTTAGGTGATCTTGCACCCATTGGCTATACTGATTCAGATTTCCAGTCAGATAGTGACTTTAGAAAATCTACCTCAGGATATGTTTTTACCTTAGGAGGTGGAGCCATAAATTGGAGGAGTATCAAGCAATCATGTGTTGCTGATTCCGCCATGGAAGCCGAATATGTTGCTGCATCTGAAGCAGCTAAAGAAGTTGTTTGGCTCAGGAACTTTCTAAAAGAGCTTAATGGGGTTCCTTCGATTGAAACACCAATTTTACTTTATTGTGACAATAGTGGTGCAGTTGCAAACTCGAAGGAACCAAGAAGCCATAAAAGGAGTAAGCATATTGAGCGTAAATATCACTTAATTCGGGACATAACTCAGAGAGGTGATGCAAGAGTGTTGAAGATTGCGTCAGAGGACAATTTGGCAGACCCATTTACAAAGAGCTTGACACAGAAGATTTTTGACAAGCATGTAGAAGGAATTGGTATTAGAGTAGTAGACGCATGGTTATGAATCTAAGTGGGAGATTGTTGGAATATACTATTAACCATGCGGTTTAGACATAGTATTATATTTTATTCTTTATGGAACAATTATTTATTTAATTTATTCAATTCAATAAAGTACTATTTTAAATAAATCATTTGTTACATGCGTGTCCTTTTAGTTATGTAGTAGACAATTTAGTGTATGGAGTCTTAGCTCATGCACAAAAGTATTAAATTTTTGGTTCTCATAATTAATAAATTATGTTCACAATCAAAGATATTGTTGGACAAAATATCTTGATGATTGTTGCACAAGATTATCGTATAATGGGAGTTGTTTTACTCCAATTTCTTGTGCTAGTATACTCAGTGTATATTGAACGGATCAAGTAGAGAAAATATGTCTTTGTACTGAATATATAAAATATTTTCTCTAATTCATTAAATGAGCTTATACTCCTAATCTTGATATAATTATTATGATCAATGTAATTTGTTTATTGTTTTGATTTATCAAAAGGTACGACTCTATTTAGAGTTAGTATATGCCTAATAGATTGGACAATAACGAATAACATTTGTGAATAATAATTAGTTGATAGAATCTATTACTCAGTTTTGGGTTTGATGATACCCCTTTATGTAAGCTTATAAGTTTTCATGTGAAAACCTGGCCGGTGGATTTTGTATCCGTCACATGAAATAGTTTAAGCGAAATTATAAAGGATTTAATTAGTTAATTGAATTAAATTTTCAGTGATTTAATTTAATTAACTGGTATTTGAAATCTTAACATGAGAAGTTAAAATAAGTGTTAATGAATTTTCGAAATTCATATTGAGGAGTTTAATTGCAGTTTTTTAGTGAAATAAATTGCAATTAATTATAGTAAGAATTAATTCATGCTAATTTCGAATTAATACTATAATTAGTAGCCTCTTATTATTTCTGTGGTCCCTGCTATACCTAGTAAAAACCTGGAAAGACTTGGGTTAAAGGTAGCTTGGGAGAAAAGTTATCCTTTTGAGTTAAGAGTAGGATTCTACTTGCAGAATCCTATACGTTTTTGAGCCACTATTATGGCTTAATTTCGGGTCTATTAAAGGAAAACTTGTTTCACCTAATAACTTACCTTTCAGTTGTATGGTTCTTGCCCACCCAATAGCAAAATCGTCCAAGGTTTTACTAGGCAAATAGCAGAAGACTGCAACCCTGGATTCTCGCTGCTTGGAAGGTCTGTGCAACTACTTCAAGAGGTTAGTGCTTCTAATCTCGTTATTGTTGCGTTGTCTAGTTCACATATATTTGATGCCTGGTTTGTATGGTTGTTTCCGCTACGTATGTTCTAACACCACCTTCCGTCCACCTAGCTCTGCCCTTGGCTATAATCATCATGAATGATAATATTTATGCAATTTATGCAAAGTATGTACGAAAATGTCATTTCAAAATAAGATCATAAATGCATACATGAAAATATCAAAGAAATATTGGTCTTTACTACTGAAAAAGACATCATGACAAGTGAAATCTGATACCTCTTGTTTATGTACTAATGGCATCATAATTTCACATTTCATTTTTTTTTCATAGGCAACTAAACGAATATTGTAGTCCCAAAAAATAAGAGGAAAATGTTCGTACTGGATCATCCCATTAATCTTGCAACGGGGAACCTCTTGCCAGGTACTGACAACTAAATCTTTGAAATATATTAAGGAAAAGCTAGAAAGGATATCTTGCCCAAGTAAACCATGAAATCTGTAACGAATCTTTGGGTATTATGTGAGAACATGTCCCTGCTTGGATTCCCAGTGCCAAACTAATAATCATCAACATTTAACTGCTCTAGTCTTGGTTCACTATAGTATAGGCCATATGAGAAAAAGAGAAATCCAAAAAGGCAGACCATCTTGCGAGAGTTGCATACTTTTCTATTTTCTCTTAGTAAGTGATCAACAAATTATATAATTTATTTGTTACATTGTATTATTTGTTAATAAGCTTAAAGTATATTGAATGAGCCTCTCTATCAAAGACCAGTAGAACTAATAACGTACTCAATCATCTACAATATGAATAAAACTATTCCTTCCTCACAAGAATCTACTATTTAGTTTTTGGCTTTCATACCAAGCAATGCACCTGCATAAGTTGATTCAACAATTTTACATTATAACCAAATTGAGCGATCAAATATGTTTCATATAAGTAGATAATGTTGATCCATTGTCCAACTTCAGGCATTTTAGGACAGAAGCACCTAAAAGACACATCTCTACAAACAAAATAACACAAACTAACTATGAGAAACCTTACCCGCAAAGAACAGATAATATCTGCAGAGCTTGTCACAAGCTTGCACCTAAGCACGAGGAAATCAGATAAGTTACTTACTAGAAAATCCAACACGAAACAACCTAAAATAACATAAAATATAACAAATACCCAAATTTGATTCAAATTTCACAAGTTTCCTAAAGGGTAATTAAGTACTATGTTAGAGAATTATTGTGATTTACGGGTCTAATTTTCTGTATCTGTTTACCTTGAAAATGGTAGTAACAATTATATTTAATTTGTGGTTCTAAAAATACGTGATTTATCTTAATACTAGTTGTTATATGAATAATGCTAAGTGTAAGTAAGCAAGAAATGATAAGCAAACCAGTGTGGTCATACGACTGAGGGCCTCGAACTCAGTGATATAGGACCTCGAGGGCGGCCTTTAACGGATGATAATGGGCAATAAATGAATAGCAAATGAGCAAATAATAAATCTGTAGAGTAATTGTTGAGCACGTTTAAGCAAGAAAAGAGAATGTTCTATTGTATTCAATATTCATGTCCGTTACAAAATGACAAGGGTCCCCTTTATATAGAAGGGGAAATCCCAACATAGTACATGTCTAATAATGACGAGGGAATGCTATTGGTACAACTGTATAGTGGCTCAGTATGGATTTGTACTATTCTAGCAGACCTGGTCAGCTCTAACCACGTGTCCCTGGGAGCTTTCCCGCCTTTTCATGATGGTCACCGATTTGTACTGCTCCGAGATAGACCATAGTGAACCTTCGATGTGCTCCCACGAGGGACGTACCTCGGGGTCACACTTCAAATTCTGCTTCGAGCTTCTCTAGGTCGGGCGTAGAGTGTCACAATAATCCCAAAGTTGAACTCCCCGACTTTGGCCGTATACAGATAGTCCCCGCGTTTCTTATAATGAAATGATAAGAAACGATCTTGAGTTCTTGCCTCTCCAATAACCCCATTGTGACGTCAGCCACGTGAGATCATTAAATGGTGCGGCAGAAAAGTTGTACAGAGGTCCTGTCAATACGGTTCTTGAAAAGCCCACAAACCGCTATTGGTCGGCCTTTCAACTCCTCCAATGCACTTATATGACACTTAAAAATACTCCAATTCCCTATCTTTTAAACCTTTACATCATCTTCAAATCTTTTCCTGTCTTCACCTTTCTTTTGTGTTCATTTCTTCCTCAGCTTACTTTGAAACTTTGTTATAACCATGGCCAAAACTTCTAAGACAGTACCTCAAAAAGAGGAAGCCCCTTCTTCGTCACGCTCGACTAAGAGCAAAAAGATAGTGCCTCCTCGTATTGAGGAGTGTATTCCCGGGACCTTCGAGACATCCTCCGATTTCAAAATTGAAAAACCTTCTTCAGTACCGGACCGATGCGAGCCCACGTCTCGGTACATTAGTCTGATAACCGACATAGAGAAAGTGAAAATAGATTGCCGCTGGGGAGAGGCGGTACAAGTGGAGATCCCTTCATCGGAAGAAGATATGACTAGACACAGAGCTGGTTTCCTCAGCGTATATACGTACCCTTTTACCTTAGGTCCTGTAGATTCTTCTTCTCCACCGATAGACCCGATGATCCTCGATTTTTGTCGACAATATTGAGTGATGATGATCTTTTTCTAACTTCTTTCCTTCGTGCTATAGGTCACGATACTGTACGACAAGGCCTTTTCCAAGTTACGAGTTGAACTGACTCATTGCGAGGAGGAGTTCGAGAAGTTTGCTTCGGAGTCGAAAGAGCTAAAAACTCTATACGCCCGAAGGGAGGAGGAACTGAACAACCTTTGAGCAAACTCAAAGAAAGCGTTCCAAGAGAGGGCCAACTTCATTGAGCAGGTAGTTCGGTACTCATGAGCTTGCCTTTTGTTTCCATGACTTGGTGTCTATTACCTTAACTCGTCATTTGTAGATTGAGTGAAAGGATTCCCTAGCAGGGTAGCTTCAAGAAGAGATTGTGGCCAAAGATGGCAAGATCCTCGAGCTGAAGCAGTACAAGGATAGCATGGCCTCAGAAAGGGATACTCTCCGAGAGGAGCTGGCCTCGACTCAAAGTCTTCTTCAAGGTGCTAAAGAGGAGGCTCTCAAATTCAAGGTGCTTCATGCTGAGTTGGCTGCCGCATTATCCGCGGCTAAGTCTGAGGTCGATGCACTCTTATCCTCGTATCGGGATGACGCTGCTGCAACAAATACTCAAGCCAGGGAAATATTTGAAGAGGCCGAGCTCAAACTGGCTCGCACCCTTGCACATGCTCGATTAGAAGCTCGAAGGCAGGCCTTTGAGGAAGTGCATGCCAAGGTTTTCGATCTCTCTGCCGAGATCGAAGAAACGAAGGCCTTGAAAGAGGAGTCAGCAGCTCAGACTACTTCGGACGAGGGCTCTACGAGAAGCTCGGGGAGTAGCGAAGACGATGACTAGGCCACCTTTGCTCTTTCTACTTCTTCTTCTTTTGTATGTGGACTCCGCGTAGGAGTTTTGTAAATGCACCTTTGTAAATATATTTTTGGAATGCAAAGGATTTTCTCGTTTAATGTCTTCAAAGTTTTGCCTTTTAGTGTTCATGCCGAAGTCAAGCTTTGAACTTGAATTTAACTCCTTCGAGCTCGATTCTGTCGTAACAGAGACCCCTGAGATTGAGTTATTCTGGTTTCAATCGCATACCTTCCCTAGGCCGGGTTGGTAAGGAATCGATTTGACTCATCAATGCCTCGAACACGGTGTGGTGACATCATTCCTGTGACATGACCGTGAAGTGATCGAAATGGCCCTGTTGGTACTGTCACACCTCCTTTTTTACCACCTGAGGGGATATAAGGGAATTTTTCCAATTAAAGTGACATTATTCGAAATGAGATTATTTATTTAATTTAGAGTCTCCACTTAGAATAGTTTATTTGGTGTCCCAAGTCACCGGTTTATTTTAAAATCCTAAATCGAGAATTTTTTTATTTTTTAGAAGTCTGCGAACCATAAATTCTAAGTAAGGAATTCTGTTAACCCGAGAGAAGGTGTTAGGCATTCCCAGGTTCCGTGGTTCTAGAACGGTCGCTTAAACTATTATAATTGGCCTATTACCTGATTTTAATACATGTTTTAACCTATGGTACATTTTTAACTGATTAACCACTTTTAATTATTTCAGGAAAATTCAACGTTATTTAAAACACGCCTTGAACCACGCTACATGAAATGCACCCGCGGTCCACGACACATTCTATTTAACGTTGTTGAGAATTGAATTTGGGTCACATGAAATGCACACCAGAATTTAGTAATTAAAAGAAAATTAATTTTAAAGAACGCGCCTAAAGCAACTACGAAGTTTCAAATTAATAACAATGTTTGCGAGGGCCATGGGAAATTCAATTGATGGCACGCCCCGATTTTTAAAAGTTTGAATTAATTTCATGAGGGTCATGGGCTTAGTGGTTTTATTTGGCATGGCACGCCTCAATTTATTTAAAAAAGGGTTTTATTATTCGAAGTTGTTATATTCAGGTTACATGAAATGCACCCCCAAATTTGGGAATTAGACATCATGACTACATCACGTGAACCGTACCATAATCACGATTGTTTATTAATCGTGCCTAAAATAAGTTACGATATTTATTGTTGCAGTTACGAGCCACTTGTTCTATTATGCAAATTTGGTCAACTTTAGTTAAAGAAAGGATTTTTTGGATTTGGAAATTTGGTCCGTTCATTAGAAGAACATTCCGACGAAAAATTATTCTCAATCCCATTTCTCAATCACTCATCTTGACCAAACAGAACCCTATGAGTCAAAATTCTTTTAACTACTATTAATAAGCAAACAACGACCCACATCATCAATTAAAAACCTAAATTTTCATTTAATATACAACAAGATCATATGGCTCAAATCCAGTGCAACTACTATATCATGCACAAGATGGAAGATTAAGATGAAATTAATTCAAATAGCTCATCACCGATTAAAACATTAAATGTAATAGATCAAACTTGTACAAAGGAAGATAATGTGTAAAATTATGGGTTTCAATGCAAGGAATCAAAACACACGTCAAACAATATCAATAAAATATTTAAAGCATGAAGTTTGAAAAAAAAATGGTAAAATAGATAAGAAGATGGACCTTTCTGCTTGGTATTAATGAAGATAACTCAATGAAGAGTACATTGAAGCCCAAGGTGTTTGAAAAAGGGAAAATGACTTGGACTGTTGGCCGAATCTATGACTGATTACCACCTCAATCGAGAACCTCGCCGGAAATCACTACTCAATGGCACAAGGACGGAAGTTGTTGCTGATTTTTTTTTTGAAGAAGGGGAAACAACAAGCGTTGATGCTGGAGGTGGGTGCTGCTTCGGAAATTAAGGTTTTTTTTTGGATGAATTTTGGCCCTTGCCGTTCTTTTGTGAAGAAGGGTGTCGCCGAGATTTTTTGGGCTTTGGGGCTGCCGTTCTTAGTGTAGAATTTAGGTTTGCTTTTTGTTTCCTTTTTGGTTGATTGTCATTTGTGAGAAGATAGGTCTTTCATTTTTAGTTTTTTCTTTTCTTCGATCTTTCAGTGAAGTGGCGGATGGATCAGTAAGGTTTTAGGTGTAGGTTTATATTTAGGTGTTAGGTACTATTATATAGGGATAGGAATTAGGTTAGAGGTATGAGCCTAGGAATTATGGGCTTGGTAATTATGGATTAGGTTCAAAAATTAGGCCTAAAAATGAGTTGCTCGAGCCCAAGTTTTATTCTTTCACGACGAACGAGATTAAAATATGATCTCATTTATTAATTAGTCCTACTTAAGTAAAATAACTGTTAAAATAAGACTGATCGTTAAAACAAAACTATTTTTTGGTATTTTTCACGATTAAAAATAACTACAACACATTAATGAAACTATTTTTTGTAATTTTTATTTTCTTGTAATAAAATAAAATAAAAGAGTCAAAATTAATTGAAATAGCGATATTAGGCCTAAATTAAATATTTACGTGCTAAAATATGAAAAATCTTGGGGAGGGTAAAAAATCACATGTGTACAGCTGCCCCCTTTTGACTGGAAACACGAAGAGTTTTCAGACAAAGAATGACTAGACAGTTTTTTTTGACCCGACCCTTATTTAAAGAGACCAAAAGCTAAGAGAAATGAGAATGTAACCGAGCCCTGGTATCTGAGTTTCCTACATATCCTTGGCTATAAAGGAATCAAGCCTTGTGTAGTTCAGAAGTGAATGAGGGGATGGAGTGTGCGAAGAGGATGAGATAGTCGAGTGAGGTTCCGGTCCGCGGTCCCGTTATTACATCAGAATCAAAGTCTAAAAAAAACTAAACAAACCTATCAGCTATGAATTACAAGATTCCTATCTATGAGTCTTCTGAAGCTTGATCTTGAGTCTTGGTTGGTTCTTCATGCGGACTCTGATCTGAATCTTGATGCTTGTTAGCTGCAGGTGCTGGTTCTTTCCTTTTTCAACTTCTCAGATCAAGGCGGGACATGCAAAGCTTGTGACTTCAAACATATCTTGAGAAGTCCGCATCTTTCTCCGCTTCTGCACTTTGAGTTCACTTCTCCTTTTTCTTATTTTTCTTTATTCTGGATTGAGACTCATTCTTTGGTCGTCTCGAACCCTGTGCCTTGAGGTAAAACCTGCTCAGACACCAAAACAAACAAACGAACGAAATTTTTCTACCCCAGTTTTCACTAGGAAAATTTCGTGAGGTATTGTAACAAAATTCCAAACTACTTCTTTATCGAAAGTAATAAAACCGGGATTGTATATCCTTGAGAAAAAAGGGATTGGGGAGTGGAGCCCTATATCTATACTAAAGGTCAACTAGGGAGTGGAGACCCTATGTTTGCCAAAGACGACTAGGGAACGGAGACCCTATGTCTAAAATAATCTCAACTAGGGAGTGGAGAGCCTATGTTGGCAAAAGGCGACTAGGGAGTGGAGACCCTATTTCTAAAAATAAACTCAACTAGGGAGAGGAGACCCTATGTTGGCAAAAGGCGACTAGGGAGTGGAGACCCTATTTCTAAAAATAAACTCAACTAGGGAGAGGAGACCCTATGTTGGCAAAAGGCGACTAGGGAGTGGAGACCCTACATCTAAAATAAACTCAACTAGAGAGTGGAGACCCTATGTTGGAAAAACGCGACTAGGGAGTGAAGACCCTATGTCTAAAATGATCTCAACTAGGGAGTGGAGACCCTATGTTGGCAAAAGGCAACTACGGAGTGGAGACCCTATGTCTAAAATAATCTCAACTAGAGAGTTGAGACCATATGTTGGAAAAAGGCGACTAGGGAGTGGAGACCCTATGTCTAAAATAAACTAAAATAGGGAGTGGAGACCCTATGTTGGCAAAAGGCGACTAGGGAGTAGAGACCCTATGTCTAAAATGATCTCAACTAAGGAGTGGAGACACTATGTTGACAAAAGGCGATTAGGGAGTGAAGACCCTATGTCTAAAATAATCTCAACTAGGGAGTGAAGACCCTATGTTGGCAAAAGG